ATGTAAAACAAGAATTCCTTAATTTTATTCATATAATTAAGATTCACACATATTTATTTGTGCACACGTAACAAATCCTACTTGAAAATAAAATCATATGATGAATTTAAATTTCTATAATAAAACATGAATAGTTAGATGAAAATAGATTTTAATATTAAGAATTTGCCCTTTATTCGATAATTTAAATTATGTAATTTAGATCAGATACAATTTGTTTAAAATTTATATATATAAAAAAATTATTTTTGTGGAAAGGGTGACCAAATTAAATAATATGTTGGAGCTGTTGCTTTATGCAGGTGACATATAGTATCCCTTTTGCTTTGGCATCAATCTACTGCTCGACAACTGGGGGAGGTCAAGGACTCTCCCTGGAAGTGCTAAACTTGTCCATTGTTATTCCACAGGTAAAGGGTCAATCAAATCCATATATATATATATATAATGATGAAAAAGAAGTTTCTGTGTTCGGTATCTTTCATTTTCCCTATATGAGAAAATCACTACATGTGCGCGCCCGCGCGTGTGGTAAATGCATATGACACATGCACTATTAGAGAATGTATTATTTCTTGGCTTATTAATTTGTGTTACGTATATGCCCAGATGTTTGTTTCTGTAATCAGTGGGCGGCTGGCTGTCGCATTTGGTGGTGGCAACTTGCCAGCCTTCGTGTTAGCTAGGTTCGATTGCAGCTGCTTTGAGTGCATTGATGGCCATTTTTTCGCTTCCAAAGCCTCCTGAGCAAGTTTCTCTTGCCCCTGGAATGGGTGGTGGGCACTGAGAGCCAAAGGCTTTTCTTCTACTTTGCTTAAATATCTTGCTTTTGCTTTGTCTTTAACCTCCATAGTCTTTAATCTCCTTTTCTCCTCTTTTTTACGTACTTTCGCCTTCATAAGGGTTGAATGCACTTTTATGCATTCTCTTCTATATTCTCCATGCTGAAGTCTATCATACATGTACAACGCATATATATGGTATTTATTTTATTGATGCATATGATCAATTACTTACTCCGGATCCGGCTGTTTAACTTAAATTTTCCATTTTTTAAAATCTTTTTTGGCCTTTAAAATTGGTCAAGTACCAAAAAAAATTGGAAATCTTAAATCGATATTTATTATTTTATTAATTATAAAAGAACCGTTAATTAACTTCCGATGAATTGAACTTTAGAGATTGAACCTATCCGACTAGTAATTAAGATCAAACTAGCAGTGCAAGCTCAACATAGCTTTAATCAGAAAATTAAAATACCACCGAGCAACAAGGCCATCTAGCAGTAAAAAAGTTCACAATAAATATATAATTACTTTGTAATTTAAGAGGGGGAAAACCCTCAAGCATGTTTTTTCTTACTGTCAAAATTGATACCATGATTCCTTGTAGTTTTCTTTTACTGTAAAAAAAGCGCCTCAACTTGCTGAAATCTGTCCAAAGTAAATGGTGAATGACATGTGCACTTTCTTCCATATTATCGTGTGTCGTTTAATCCATGCTACCATGGGTCCTTTTCCGTATTGTGATAAGGAGAAAATGTTTATTGGCAGCATTTGTAAAAATATTAGAACAGTGATTGGTACATCTTTAGTTCAACATTTGATTCAATATTTTTTAGTTTAGTTATCAAAAAATTATTATTTTTTAGTTTAAAATTAAAAACGAATAAGTATAATGATACAATCATACTCATAGGATACATGAACCGATTAAATTGACTGTATTTATATTATGTTTTTAATTATTAAATCAGAGGGTATTGAACCGAGTGTTGAACCGAAGGATGTACCAATTATTTTTCAAAAAGTTAAGTAAAAAGAATTCTTAAAATCTTGTTATTTTAATAAATTTTTATTGAAAAAAATTAAATATTTTTAATAAAATTATTTTTTATATTATTTTATCAAAAGTATTCTAGTCATTTTATATGTCAAATTACATTTTTAATATATAGTCCTACATGTAAAACAAGAATTCCTTAATTTTATTCATATAATTAAGATTCACACATATTTATTTGTGCACACGAAACAAATCCTATTTGAAAATAAAATTATATGATGAATTTAAATTTCTATAATCAAACATGAATAGTTAGATGAAGATAGTTTTTAATATTAAGAATTTACCCTCTATTCGATAATTCAAATTATGTAATTTAGATCACATACAATTTGTTTAAAATTTAAATATATAAAAAAATTATTTTTGTGGAAAGGATGACCAAATTAAATAGTATGTTGGGGCTGTTGCTTTATGCTGGTGACATATAGTATCCCTTTTGCTTTGGCATCAATCTACTGCTCGACAACTGGGGGAGGTCAAGGACTCTCCCTGGGAGTGCTAAATTTGTCCATTGTTATTCCACAGGTAAAGGGTCAATCA